TTAACATTCCCATGAAACTCAAAGAAATCAAGTGATTTTCCCAAGATCACAGGGCATACATAAGCAGTAGAGCTGGAGTTTTGACCCCAGAACCAGTCTTCTACTAACTATAATGCTTTCAAAACTGCTTTCAATATTAAAAATAAAGGGATTTTGCTAACTGGGTCATTTGTACTCCTCAAAACATTTTTATGAAGAATAGCTCATTTAATTTCACAACTTTTATGCTGGGACGGTAAGCAAGACATTTTTTCTTCTATTCATTTTGCGACTGAGAATACTGAAGCTCAGATTGTATCAGTGTTTTGTTATGAGACCACACATCCAAAAAGTGGCAGAGCACATCAGAAACTCGGGTTGTCTTAATTATAAAACACTGAGTATAAAACTGTGACAGGAGTATATCTTTGCTTTCACATATGTAAGTTGAACAGTTTTCTGTATCACGAAAGTGAACAGTAGATTGATAAGCTACACCTGAACAGTTTTTTACTCTTATTAAATACCAAGTAGCTTTACACATTTAACAAATAGTAACTCCTAACTAGTGCACCAGACACAATTTATACATATAAACTTTCACAGCTGAAAAGTACCTTAGAAGTTATTTGTTTTGAATTTCTCATTTTAGAGCTGAGGGAAAAAATACCCAAGTGGTGAACTTATTCAATGTTGCCTTATTCATGACTGCTACACCCTGGTCCAGAAAGCCTCTGTTCACATTCCACATTTCCCCCCTGTAGAGAATAAAAATTCCTGAAAAAAAATTATTACATGAAAAGCTTCTTTATTTTCTCCTGGAGGTCAAGGAAGATTTTATATTGTTAAGAATGTTCTCAGATTGAAGTTGCAAAAAGAACACATGTATGTATGAATGTAGGATATTAATATAGATGTCAATATCAATGTTAAATTGGGTTAAAGACGTCTCAAAGATAGCTTGCCTAATGCATTGCAATAGGTGTGCCTCAAGATTTCCTGGAAAGTATGGAAGAAATTAGATTGGCAATTTTTATTGATTCTTCTGAGGAATTGTTATGGCCAGCAGATGCCACTGTTGTCAGTGTAACTATTCTTTCAAGTTTCAAATATGGAGAATTACTAGAAAAAGGGGTAAGTGAAATGTAGCAAAAGTAATTATGTTATCTTTTAAAGATTAAGTAGTGCAAGTACTGTATAATTGAATCCTATTATTTACCTTTTAGCAAATAGTAAACACTTAGCAATAAAGACATTCTAAAATTATAAGAAAAAAATTAACGGGAAAGAATGAGTTCTCTATGTTTGAAAATAGTACTCTTTTTTAAAAATTAGAAGTTCATGCAATGGCCAATGTTGATTGATAGCTACATTTAGTAGCCAAGATGTATTTTATCCTGATGAGTGACATTGAGGGAGAATAAAATAAATTAATTCTGTTCCTTTTTGTTGTTATAGCATCATAAAACAGCTTTATATTTTTCAAATCTGTACACAGTTGTGAACAAGTTGTTTTTGCAAAATTTATTATATTACTATCTTCTATTTCCATCAATGTTTGTACATGATGTTAGGGGTTTTTGTTTGTTTGTTTGTTTTAAGAGACGGTCTGGTTCTGTTGCCCAGGCTGCAGTGCAGTGGCATTATCAGAACTGACTGCAACCTTGACCTCCTGGGCTCGAGCAATCCTCCCACCTCAGTTTTCAGAGTAGGTGGAATTACAGATGCACACCACCATGCCCAGCTAATATATAAAGGATAATTTATAGTATCTTATTTATTTTAAAAGACATGTTTAGAACAAGAATTTATATAAAATTGTATTTGAGGTTTATAACACTGAAGGTAGATTATGATAAGTTAAAGATCTGTATTGGAATTCCTAGAGCAAACACCAAAAATAGAGAGAGAATTACCTGTTTTACAATTTTTAAAATTGCAGTACTGACTTTATTGATTACAATCTCTCAATATCAATACTACAATTAGAAAAATCAATAAATATATAGAAAAGATTTAAACACTATGATAAACTAACTTGACATAATTACTGATCGGACAGGAAAATGAGATATTTTTGTTTTAATATAGAAGAGAGGCAAACATGGTTTTTGAATGAAGAAAAGGAACCAGTGGTGAGAGAAAGGAAAGGGAGACAGAATAATCAATGGAAAGAAGTCCTAGAGAATTCAGAGTAGGGGAAATCAAAGGCAGAGGTTGAGTGATTATCCTCACACATGAGCAGGGTAATTGTTTCTCCAACAGGGCATGAAAAAAAAGAGAAAATAGATGCAGGGAGCATGCCATCTTAAATGTTAAACAAGTAAATCGTTATAAGTTGTATATTAATATTTGCAACTAATTTACGGTACAATACAAAAGCATGCTTTTTGGCAAGAGATTCTCAAATGTTTTAAATTATATCCACATAAAGCTGCTTGGCTTTTATTCAGAAATATGACTTTTTTTTTCTTTCTCTTTTTTGGGGCAGAGGAGGTGGAGAGGAGATGTATAAGTGGCAGGAAGTTGAAAGAATTTACTTTCAATGGTTTTCTTTCTTGTAAAATAGAAAATAATGCTACCTTCTGAGAATTTGGGGTTAGAAAGGAGACAAAATATTTGAGCAAAACAGCAACACTTTGACATAGACACTGTGAGGACAAAGAAAATGAACTTAAAATAACAGTCCCAAACTGTAAACTTATATTTTTCTTGTTCCCACTCTGATGATAACTTTTAAAAAGCCCTTTAACTTAAAAAAAAAAATCCTAAACCAAAACTGACAAAGATAATAAACAAGAGATTCTCAGAAAAAGAAACCAAATGTAAAAACATATGAGAGATCCCCATCTACTCTGGTATTCAGATAAATATAAATTCAGACAATGAAATACCATGCTATGTCCCATCATATTGGAAAACAAACCAAAAAAAAAACCCAGAAATTCAGGTGTCAATGAGAATGTGGATCAACTAAAATTTTTATTCTCTTCCAGTGGTAATTTAATTTACTTAACCACTTTGGAAGTACTTGGGCAAATTCTAGGGAGGTTGAAGATGATGTATCACAAGGACCTGCTTCTTGTCTTGGGAGAGATTGTTAAGTCCCCACCCATTTCCACAGATCTGGCCATCCTGCCCTGCAGGAGCACATTTCTCTGCCCCACTGCGTAGGACTTGGTCCTGTGATCTGGTTTGGTCACTTGAATCAGAGTAGACACCAATAGTCCTTGTATATACAAGCTTTCAGAGGCATTGCAAGCTGTTGCCAGCTTTCCTGCCAGGTTTCCTCTGCCATGAGAAGGGCAGAGATAGGAGCTGTGCTTCATCCTAACTGCACAAATTTGATTAAAAATTTCTTAGAATTGGCCGGGCACGGTGGCTAACGCCTGTAATCCCAGCACTTTGGGAAGCTGAGGCAGGTGGACTGCCTGAGATCAGGAGTTCAAAATCAATCTGGCCAACATAGTGAAACCACGTCTCTACTGAAAATACAAAAAATTAGCTGGGCATGGTGGCAGGAGCCTGTAATCCCCTCTACTAAGGAGGCTGAGGCAGAAGAATCGCTTGAACTCAGGAGGCAGAGGTTGCAATGAGCCGAGATTGTGCCATTGTACTCTAGCCTGGGCGACAAGAGCAAAACTCTGTCTCAAAAAAGAAAAAAAAATTAGAATTTCTAAAGTGTTTAGAGTTATAGACATTTGCAGTGAAAGTTCTTTTTTTAACATGTAAAGACAATAAAGACAAGGTGCTAATGAATCATAAAAATATGTTTATTTAAATGTTTATAAATTGTAAGATTCTAAATATGCATGAAAAGATTCCTGGAAAATATCACACATTTTGTATTAATGTTTGTAACTGGCTTAAGGCACATAATACAAAATACTTCTTTTGATACAGACATCTTCAAATGTTTATTTAACCACATTGGAACAAAATTGCATTAGAGCTTTGTATGGCACAATACATCTGTAATAAATGTTTGGTTGGGAGAAAAACACTTTGTGGGTAAAACAAGTACACTAGTATTCACTGGCAAAAATCTATTAGTAGATTCCACTGTGGTTTTTTTTTTTTTTTTTTTTTTTTTTTTGGTTTTCAGAGTAGGTCTCCATAGAAAAATATTATTTGTCTACATGTCTTTCAAAAGCATATAATAATATAATACATGGTTAAATTATCTGCATGAAAAAAACTCTTAATACCTGAGAATTTGCCATTTAATAGTTAATTTTTATACTCCTTTATGTTCTGACTTTGAGAAACCTCTGATATAAAATAACTTAAACATCTCTAATAAAACCTTTACATATGTAAATATATTTTTATGTTTACCAAAATAAGATCTTCAAAATTAAAAGAATTCTCACATATTTAATTAATAGAATACAGTACATAACTTTGAGAAAATAAATTTTTAAAGAATATATATACACACACAAGAATTATAAAGGCAAAACAGAATATAAACATTATAAAAACAATGTATTGTTCTTGTAAGTACAATCAAATTTGAGGTAGATCTTAAAAATTAAATTATATCATATCTTTATTATACCCACAAAATTTTTTATTTACTATTTACCCCAAACATACATTTTTAATACACAATTTGTACCTCATTTTGAGGACTATTTTTTTAATTGAAGCACCGTAATCCACAAGTAAAAATTAAAGGAAAAATAAAACAAGGTATCTAAACTGTATGAGTAGAAAGTATAATGGCTCTGTGCTTTTTTATGTAACTATTGATTAGCTACTTGTCAGAAAGATTAAATAATGTTTATAGTAATTTTGAATGTTTATTATCCTAATATTTACTTGCTTCATTTTAGCTAGTAGAATAAACATTTCATTGTACAGTACAAAGCTGAGCAGAGATTTACACATGTGTTTATAGGTATAAGATAAGTGTGATCCAGTCCAAGATGTTAAGAGCAGCACTGTCTTGGTATAATTCATTCGATCCTGGTATTCTCTATTATAAATTATTATGTTCTTTAAAAAAATCCTGATTAATAGAACCTTATTAAGCAGTTATTTGAATCCCTGATGAGCACCCTGAAAAAAACGCAGAGACATATTAGACGTGGAAATCTCGGGAAGGGAGAAATAAAGAAATGAGCACCCGTCATTTGAATGTTCCAGAGAATATCTCCTCTTTAGGGCATACATCCCCCTTCTAAATGTTCATATGACTTGAATTGGGAGACCAGTAGTCATGTGAGGAAGACACTTTCCACAGTACCCTCCACACTTGCCGAAAAATCTGGTTCCATCCTGAAAATTGGAAGAAGAAATATAGAAGAATCTTATACAAGCTGATATCTGCATGCAAATAGCAGAAAAAGCAAATGCTTTGAATCATATGGCTAAAATCATTAGAGGTTTCCTATAAGAATTGCATTTGAGGTCAAAGATCATACCCTTTTGATATTGTTTGAACTGGTGGACATGGGAAAGTTAAAGGATATTAGATAACCTGAGATTCATTTTAGCTAATTGAATATTATATACCATACTATAATTGAGACAATTTAAATCTCAATTAAGATTTAAATCCAATCCACATATTTCAATCTCAATCCACATATTTTTCATCTAGGTCTCTATTTGCTTCAGTGAGTTTATTAAAACCTCTCCCAATTTGCTATCCAATATTTACATAAATTTACATAATGTTCTCTTAGACCAAATAAAAGAAGGATATTGTATAAACTTGACTTTAAAGGTATATAATTCATATTCTATCCCATTTATTTCAAACATCTCGTGGAGGCATTAGAAACACACTCTGGAGAAAAGTATAGAAGGTGGTAAAATGGAGAAAAAAAATTAAAACTGGGCTGAAAGTAGTCATTAGAATTAGAAAAGAACTAAAATGGGAGATTGTTCCATAAGCAGAGCAGTTCACTGAGGAACAGGTGGCAGAGGTGGGCTGAAGCGGGTTGGTCAGGACGTGATAGATGCACTCTCGAGATGCCTTACATCTTTAGGTCTAAAAGTGAAGACTGAAGACATTTCTAGAACACGACACAAAAACAGGTTGAACTCCTATCATATCTGGAAAAGGTAATTTTTTTAAATCTAAGGGAGTAAAGATAGAGAAGAAAACTGTAGGTTCTGAAGACATTTTGAGACGGAAGAATGTTTTGAGAATGGAAGCTTTTGAAGTTACCTTTTCTTTCTAAAGCAATTTTAGCTCTGGAGAACCTGAGTACACAGAGAAGGGAAAGGCAGTAAAATCTCAGAGTTGAATAATTCCCTGTTCCCTCTGTTGTAGTAAGAACTCAATCTTCATTAAACTTATTGGCAAAGGAAAATATGTTTGCATTTCTGTAAGTATATCTGGATTTTACCAATCAGTTTCACACCGGGCATCAGATCTCAAGAAATAGTTATGTGCAACCTTTTCGATTGAGATAGAAGTTCTCAATGAAATAAATAATGAATTAATATTTAGAATAGAAGTTAATAAAAACACAACTCTTTTGTTAAGTAAAGCCCAATTTTATCAACTTCAGAAACAGAATGTTTTAAAGGCTATGACTATCAGAATACTAAGTTTCATTTATGAGAAATATTTATATAAATAGGAGTATAACAAAAATCACTTTTATCATAAGAAATAAAAATCATAAAACATTAGAGTATACAGAGGTTGTTGCTGGTGCTAATTTATGTGTAATATAAGTGGGAACACGTATAACCTAGATCCAGATTTACTATGGGCAGGGCTATGTTATCTAAGACACAATAACCGTGAGTAATAGAAAGCGTTTCTTGAAGTGTACATGTTGGAACACCATACCTGCAGAAAATTAAGTGGATTCTATTTGGATAATACGACATGTGCTATAGTTATAATAATTATATAAATAAACTATACAAATAGTTATAACTATATATATATATAAAAATACTACATGACAGTCTATATTTTTACAAATAAAATAACAACGTTATCTAGATAAAGACAGGAAAACATGACTACAACATAAATACATAATCCTAATTCTTGAAAAAACTGTGAAGAATATTTGTTAAATGACAAGGGTCTCCAACACTACCCCCATCACTAAAACAGTGAGGGAAGAAAACAAAAATTAACACTCATTTTGAAATATTAAAACCTGTAAACCTTCAGTAATTAAAGTATAGTAAAAAACATACCTTTTTTGAAGACCTGTATTTCAAGTCATTAGCTCCAAACTTGAGATAGACAAAACCTGTATGTCCTGGCATTTGGCAATTTATGTTCAGACATCTATAGCCCATATATGGATTCATAAGTATACAAAACCTACACATGCACATTAATACAAATGAATCCTGTTTCATTTCATAAATTGATGTTGTGCTCCATTATATATAATCTACCCATTATATGCAATAACTCTTTAGTCATCAATTTCATACAAGTTTACATTTAAGGTAGAGAGCCTTTAATGCTAGTTCATAGCACAGAAGTATTTCAAACAGGCTTTTTGGTCCTGCAGGACTTACCTCTGATCTCCGTATGCTGACAGAGGTATAACTCCCCTGAGCAAGCCACTTTGCTGTGTTGGATATCTTCATCCCAGTTCCTGCTAAATTAATGCTAAACTGTCCCTGGATTGTAAATAAAACAAACAAAAATAGATGGAATTTATAAATACTTAAGAATGCTCTTGGCTAACAACATCTGAACAGGAATTATATAAGGATGGACTCAAGATACTCTTCAAGAGTCTTTTATAAAATGAAGGAATATCGATATAACCTTACTCTAAAGAAAATGAACCAGTTAAGGACTTTGAAAATTGATTACAAATAAGTCTTCTGAATTGCAAGTGACAACTGAATTAATACTATATAATGCTATTTGTGGAGAAGTAACTCTGCCCAACTCCAGGACTCTATGATTTGACAACTAGAGCTAATGGTCCTGTAGAAATTAGTAAATCCTGACAGAAATAGCGTTCATGGGGACCAATATTTGCTGCACTTTAACATTTCTACACTTTCTATTTTTGACCCTTCATTGCTAACTTCTATGATGTTTCACCTATTTGACGTGTTTTCCAGAATCTCTGTTATTGCCCCATTCCTTTTGTGATAAGAATATTACTTCTTAACTCACCACACAAAACTATCTAACATAATATTATTGTCCTGGCAATTATATCCATTTTAAACACCAAAAACGGTGTTTAGATGTGTGATGCCACATGGTTTACACACATTATGGTGTGTGGGTCCCCTATGAGCTTTATGATCTAATTCTTTCCAAGTACAGGACCATTTTTATGTCAAAATATTTCAGACTATCTTTGTTAACTATTAAATTGCAATGTTAACTGAGAAAATGTGTGATTAAAATAGGTAACACTTGTGTCACATGTATATAATTTTACAGTACAGATTTAAACATTGAAAAGTAGAACTTATAAACAAGTTCAGTCTACTGACAATGTTCAGTATGCATATAGATTCAGAACAATATTAAGACAGTCTTCAATTACATCACAATATCTCAATGGCTTAAGACTCATGAATCTTTAGCAAGACTGTGATGAAACACTGGATTTTATATTATATGAATGAAAATATTATCTTGTCATAAAAGCAAAGTCTAAATAAACTCTCTCTATATAATGTGAATTATTAATATTGCTAAAACAATTAGATATCAATTTAGTCATTAACTTGGATTTCTTAGCAATCTTATATTGTATATTTCTCATTTAAAAACAAATAAAGATCAAATATTTGTATAAAACAATGACAATAAATGGAGAATTTTCCATTGCAGAAATAATTAGTTTTAGATAAATTTCAAAGACAATTTATCATATACAACATCACTTGGTTATGAAATTTAGAATATGAACTCTATGTCAGCTTCATTGCTGTATTCCCAGAGCACAGAACAGGGCCTAAGTTCTCAATAAGTGTTTTCAAATGGATGAATTAAGTGCAGCATTAAAAACATTAAATAGTAGTATTATAAAAGTAAATACACAAATACATATATAAAACTCTTCAGACTCTATGATAATGAATGACACTAAAACTAGACAAAGTAGTATTTTATGTTCACAAATACTTGAATAAAAAGAATTGATTCTTAGGATATATTATTCCATTTGATACTTAATCAACCTGATACAGGTTTTGCACTGTATACCTCCAATCTCACATTCCTTCTCAGATAGGCTTTTCACCAAATAAAGTTATTAAAAAATGAAAATATATTCTATCATGTAAATTTCTTGTAACCAGATGCTCCTTGAGTGCCCGGATTGGACCATGCAACCTAATACCGTTTTTCCATTCTTCCATTTGTTCTCTACCTCCCTGATCAATATGCCTTAAAAATATTCAAATGTATATACACTGGAAGTAAAAGGAATGAATCTGATGGACTACCAACAGCCTTAGGTGGTCATTAACACAATTAGTTGAGTCTAGAACTATTGATTGTTCCATTTCTCTGGACTAATTTTCATGAGCTTTATTTCTGTTCTTAGTCCTCACTTAAAAAACTACATAATACGATCTCAAAAAAAATGGTAAAACAATTATCTGAAATTTGGTATGATGTTGATGGAGCTGAAAACACATCTCACTCATTTGTTCAAAATTAACTGACTGGCAGAGATGGTGTCAAGTACCATAAGAGTTCAGACAGATCTCACTCTAAATCTGTCAAGTGAAATAGCATATGTACCTAAAAAAAGTAATTCAATGAGAGAACTATAAGTGCCATAAAAGGGTACTTATACATTCCTATAGGATTTTAGAAGTAATAAATAAGTGAATAAATGTGTTAATTAATTCCAATACTTCATTTAAGATTAAAATTTAAACCTCAAACCTAATCTTTAATCTAAAAATTGTTCAACATATGAGGTCTCTCTATCTCTCTGTCTCTCTCTCTCTCACTGTCTCTCACTCCATACATGCATATGTAGTATGAAATGTCAAGAGAGTAGATACGTAGTATGAAACTTATCTCCTCTTCTACCCTCCTGACATTTTGAAGAAGCAGCCACTACACAAATTAAAATTTCAGCAGCCAAATCACAAATGGAAGGTAATATGATTCAGAAGACCTAGGAATTCAATAAATTGGAATGTTTATTCTTGAGTAACTGGCTGTGTCAAAGAAAAAGGTAGGTATGGGTATAAGATAGAGGAGAAGCATATAGATAGATGCAAGTTTTAACGTTTCACTTCTTGGATTGACTGGTTGGTTCACGTGTGCTCATTAAATAATTATGTTTTACAGTTTTTAAATGTACTGTACACATTTTATTATGTATGTACTCTATAGATCTAATATAATACCAATACAAATTTTCTACCCAGAATCTTTATAGATACAGAGAGTTGATTCTAAAATTTATAAAGAAAGGCTATGGATATAAATAGTTGAGATAAGCTTACAAAAGAAGAATGGAGCTGGAGGACCCATACTACTTTAACACTTATCATAAAGCTATCCTAATCAAGACATATGGTGTTGGTGAAGACAGATACATGTAGATCAAAGGAAAAAAAGACCCACATAAATATGGCCAGTACTTTTGACAAAGGTAGAAAGGCAAATAAGTGGAGAAAACATTGTCTTTTCAACATGTGGTGTTAGAACAATTGGGTATCTATATGTTTTTGACTCAGATGAAAAATTAAGTCTATAAATCCCCCAGACTTAATACAAAATTTAATTCAAAATAAATTGTAGGTCTAGGTGTAAAGCATAAAACTATAAAAAGTTTTTGAAGAAAACTTCCAAAAGGAGAAAAATCTTAGTAATTTGAGCTTATTTAATGATTTCTCAGAAACGAGTCTAAATGTACAGTCCATAAAAGAAAAATTTGACTTTATTAAAATCGAAAACTGCTTGGTGAGAGATACTTAAAAGAAAGAAAAGACAAAGTTTGGACTAGAATGCCGTATCCAACAACAGACTTGTATCCAGAACATATAAAGAGCTCTCGAAACTCAACAGTAAGGAAACCAACATCCCAGGTTTTAAAATGAGTAAGACTTGAAAATGCATATCACCAGCTGGGTGCAGTGGCTCACACCTGTAATCCCTGCACTTTGGGAGGCCGAGGTGGGTGTATCACCTGAGGTCAGGAGTTCAAGACCAGCCTGGCCAACAGGGTGAAACCCTGTCTCCACTAAAAATACAAAAATTAGCCGGGCGTGGTGGCAGTCGCTTGTAATCCTAGCCACTCAGGAGACTGAGGCAGGAGAATTTCTTGAACCTGGGAGGCAGAGGTTGCAGTGAGCTCAGACTGTGCTGCTGCACACCAGCCTGGGTGACAGAGCATGACTCTGTCTCAAAAAAAATAAAAATAAATAAATAAATACTTAAAAATGAGCATAAAAAGACAAAGGACATAAAAAGAGAGCAGGGGTAGCAATGTTGATAAAAGACAAAGGAGAATTTGAGTCCCCAATCATGAAACTATGACAAGGAAGTGCTGAAAGTAATAATCCACAAAGAAGACATAACACATAATAAATATTATGTATCAAATCATACAGCAACAACTTTTATGAAGCAAAATCTATGAGATATGCATGGAGACACAGATAAGGGAGGGGACCACCCCTCATATTGTCTTGTGCCCAATTTCTGCCTCCAAAGAAAGAAGAAGTAAAAACTAAAAGGCAGAAATGAAATCCACAGGCAGACAGCCCAGCGCCACACCCTGGGCCTGGTAGTTAAAGATTGACCCCTGCCCTAATCGGTTATGTTATCTATAGATTACAGACATTGTAGAGAAAAGCACTGTGAAAATCCCTATCCTGTCTTGTTCCAATCTAATTACCACTGCATGCAACCCCCCGTCACGTACCCCCTGCTTGCTCAATCAATCACGACCCTCTCACGTGGACCCCCTTAGAGTTGCGAGCCCTTAAACCAGACAGCAATGGCTCACTTGGGGAGCTCGGCTCTTCAGACAGGAGTCTTGCCTATGCTCCCGGTTGAATAAACCTCTTCCTTCTTTAATCCGGTGTCTGAGGAGTTTTGTCTGTGGCTTGTCCTGCTACACAGACACACCCTAATAATAGGAAAAATCAATATACCACTTCCAGTAACAAGAGAGATCAAGTGAACAAAAGGACATGATTTAAACAATGTAATCGAAAGGGTAGATCTTATGGATATATATTAAACTCTACACCTTGATAATAATGAATACATATTCCAAATATCTCACAACTGACTTTTAACATTCAAACTGGATGCTGGCCATAACCCACTGACATTAGCCAAATATGATTATTTCTCTTACTTTTATGTAATTACCAACCAGTTAAAGAGATCCACATTACTTTTGTTTTTAAAAGTTTTTGTGGCTTTGCAAAAAGTACAAAACATTTACTTTACTTTTGACATACGCATTCTAAAGTCACACCACACTCCTTAATTTCATCTCATATTGCAATGTGGCAAAGTTTATTTTCCCTAAAAAGTGCCATATGTGTCCATACTCATTTTAGCGTTCCTATCCCAGACTATCCTGTCACATGCAAACACAGAGGATGTGGGTTTGATGAATCCCAAACAACAGTATAAGTTCTGTGACATCAAACATCTGGAGAGTATT